AACTTATACCAAAAAAAAAATAATAATAAAAAAAAATAAAAAAAACCCTTTCAGATTGATTATCATCCCCGTCGCCAATCTCGTACATCCATCCGGCTTTAGTCATCACATTCAGCTTCGGGCCTTAGACGAATTATCTTGTTGAGTAAGTGTTTTTTTATACAATGTTACAATTCTCTGCTTTTAATGGAGTATGCCAATGAAAGTTGTTAATGTGATATATTTTGGGGAGAAAATAGAAGATTGAATTTTTATTTAATTTTTTATAGCGAATTTGTATGTTTGAATTGTGTGTTTTAAGGTGGAATTTGAGCTTTGGTGATCATTATGCTTAATTATTGTTAAAGGTTTGACCTAGGAAAGTATTACTTGTATTTTTCAATTTGATTATTGAAGCATTAATTGATGAAATCTATTATGTCTAATGGAGTAATTGGTAATCCAAAGTATGGTACTAAATTATTGTCATATTTTCTTTTTGGATATTTACAATATTTTTTACTTAATCTTTCTCTTGGAGACAAAGGGTGATTGGTTTGCTACATAATTTGTTATTATTATTATTATTTGTTGTGTACAAATTATTATATTACCGAGTACCGAATCAAAGGATTCGTTTCCCGGGTCGATCTCTCGAGGAAGGCGGTTCGGAATTTAGAATTGGTATTGATAACACAAAAAAAAAGAAAAATAAATCCTAAACACTCTAATCAGATTGGGGAGGAATTAACTATCAACTAAGGAATAGCATAAAAGCATAAATCCTAAAATACCAACTAAATAATAATAAAGAAACTAGGGAATCGGGGATAATTTATTCAAGTTCGCAACGTAAAGCCAGGCAATTGATCGTTCGGTTCAGAATTTACACTCTCGCCTACACGTCTAGCAGTTCACTCCCAATAACTCTTCGTAACAAGGAATTGAACATAGACGAGCAAGTTTGAGCATACAATACCGGCCAAGTATCCAATCCCAATAACTTTTCGTAACAAGGGACAAGACACCGACAAGCATGTATT